CTAAGTTTATAATGTATATACCATTTTTTCTCCTGCATTCTCTAAAAAATGGGCCTGCTTGTCTCTAATTATATTCAATAGCGTGCATGATATAAAGATGTTGTATTTGTTTAGAAAGTGAGTCCACTGTCAAATCAGATAAGAAATCTCTTAGTTTAATGAAATTAGTGATGGCGATGGTGGTTATTTTTAAACTGCATATTTTATGGAGCCTTTAATATGCTAACATGTATCATGATGTCCTAAGAAAAGTGATATATGAATGTGTCTCTGCCTTATTTAATTATGGAACCCTTTTTTGTGAAGAATTTGAACACAACTTGGAAAAAATTGAAAAGTATTTTAATCTAAATACTAGACATTTACTTTTGTCTTCCTGGCATCCATTTCTCACATTTCTCTTTCCCCGGATAATATTTGATAATAAATTGTTTAATACCAGATTATGTTTGGTAATCAGCTGTTTGATACTTGATCACAATGTGCAGTATTGGTGAATACGTTTTTAAATGTATTTTTGATGATTATTAATGTACAAGTTAATATGTTAAAAACACTCACTTGCTTCATTGGTCTAGTCTGGTCTCTTGGTATCCTGTTGTCAGGCGTGGAAACTCTATGCCCCTGATGATTTGGTGAGCTTTGGTTTCTTTTACTTTAAAGTGTTAACTTATTGTATCACAGACACTATTCTTTAATAATTCTGATTCTTTTATCTTTCTACTTATTACCTTTTACTCTTTCTGTCTTTTGCCTTCCTACTTTAAGCTCCTCAAAGCTAACTCTTAGGGATTATATTAATTGCTTATTGTTTAAGTTTCATCATATTTAAATGGAAGAGATACATATCCATATGTATTTATCCCACCCAAGAACTAGCGAGGCCCAACCCTGCTTAGCTTCCGAGATCAGATGCATTGGGGTGTGTCCAGGGTGGTATGGCTGTGGACTCCACGTATATTTCTGTTCTACTTTATTTTGCCAGCTCTTGAATCATTTTACTGCTCATCAATAAATCCAACATGTAAATTGTTCCATACCCTTATTCTACCAGCTCTCTTCTGCCATCAACCTTTCTGCCAAATTTTCATGTTTTTTTTACCCTCAACTATTCAAAGTATATTCAAGCCTTACTAAGCATTTGAAATGTAAACTTCTTATTGAACTTTTTTAGTTGGGAAGGTGGGTGAGAGGCAAATGGGGTTTTTCTCTTTTGGTCCTTACGCTGGCCAAGCAGGCACATTTTTCATTTCTTTCTTACCTCTAAATTCAAATGTAGCTTCATCCTGCTATATGTTTTGTATCCATAACTTCTTTTTGTTAATTTCAGCACAAGTTATTTGAATCTACTTTGTCTCCACCAGTGTTGTCTTTTTCAGATAGTGAACATTTGGAGAGCAGGAACTAGATTTATCAACTCTGTTCTTCCCAATCCTTCCTGCTTTTTGTTGAAGAGAGAGAACGGAAACGAAAGGAGGAGGAAATTCCATTCTAAAAAGTTATGTGCTGATTCATAAAGCTTAAATTGTCCATGACAGTGGACTAAGATGTTTGTATGTGTTTTAGGCTAACTTGGAAGAGTGAGACATCCTTTTTGTCTGAGATATTACTTTTATGTAATATGAGTGAAATTCAGGAAAGCTAAGAAGGGATGTAAAGGAAATAGTTTGCCTTATTTGGTTATCTTAGCTAGTCTAATATTTAAACACTGTGAGGTTATATTTCTCTTTTAAAAGAAAGTGTCCCATTACATTCTGAAGTAAGAATATTTATAGGTATTCTAAATCTTTGTGTATAACTTCAAAAACTATTTACATGGAATTTTTCATAAATACTCTAATAGAGTGTATCTCTGAATTATTGGGGCATTTGAATAGTTATTCATCAGCAAAATTCCTTCTGTTGCCCTGCAACATTGAGAGCTGGCCCTGTATTTGAGGCTATACCAGTTAAGGATCTGACATCCCATTTTGGAATAGGGAAGTATTTGATGAGGAATGCTATATCTTTTTTGGTAAATCTGTCATATCGCATTGTAATTATTTCAGGACAAGAAATGTAGTGTTTCACCCCTACCCCCACCCTCTTCCCACATCTTCTTGTGTAACCTTTAAACTGTTCTTTATGCCCTTAACACAAAGAAAGTTTCGTATGTTATTCCTTTCATTCAGTTCCTTGAATTATTTATTGTCCTCACTTCCTTAACACTCATTCATTTCTTAAAAAATAAATAATGATGTTTCCATTTCTTTAGCTTTTTAGTTAATTTACTGTACAAAATAGCAAGATATCAAGTATGTTATTCCTTTCATTCAGTTCCTTGAATTATTTATTGTCCTCACTTCCTTAACACTCATTCATTTCTTAAAAAATAAAAAATGATGTTTCCATTTCTTTAGCTTTTTAGTTAATTTACTGTACAAAATAGCAAGATATCAAATGGGCACCTGCGTATGTTTTATCTGGAGTTTAGGGGAGAAGGTCATGACCAGAGATTTGGAGGTAGCAGCACAGAGATGAAATTTAAAGCTATGGGCACCTATGATTTCACCAGACAGAGTACTGGTTTTCATGCAGGTATCTTCCCCCAGTAATTTCATTATTCTGTCCTTGTTCATCTGCACAGACAACTGTGATCCAAGCAAGTCAATACCCTCCTTTCCATGGTAACATTCTTACTCCATTGTACCTTTGCCTGCTTTCTCATCCTAATACACTCAGTGCTCACATGCATCCCAATAGAATACCTTCTACATTCCCTTCCAGAAATATGATAAACTAGGGATTTCAGCCTGGAATCACTAGCTTTTAAATGGAGCCCACTAATGATACTGAGTAGTGGCAAACAGAGTGCAAGAGAAAGTGAAGAAGCACATGGGTATCACAGAGATCAAGAGAAGAGAGTTTTGAGAAAGGAGGGTCAAGAGTACAAATGCTTCACAGAGTCAGAATGGCAAGGACTATTTTTAGCAATTAAGACCTCCCTAGAAGTTCCATTTTCAGCATTCTTGGGGACTTGCTGTGATACAGTTAAATGCCACCAGGAGATAGTTCCTATTATTAAAAAGCTTACAGTCAGAACGGAAAGTGTACAGAGCAGAGGCATGACCCTTGCGTATCCCTGTCATGACCTTTAGCACACTCATCTTTTCACTTGTCTATGCCACGCCACTGCACCTGGAGCTTCCCTTGAAGGAGAGACTGCTTCCTCAGATATTCCTAGCACCAGGCATGTGATCCACATTAAGAAAAAGATGCAGAAACACTGGGATGGCTTAGAAGAGAGGAGGAAGCACTTTCGGAAGAATGGCGTTATCAGAAAAGGGTGGTGGGTTAGGTTGTGATAGATCTTCAGTGATGAAAATACCTTCAACTAGTAGGTAGCATTGAACTCGTTGAATTTAACTGTGGTCCCTCTGGATGGGATTAGTAGTCTAGCTAGAGGGATTTGCCATGGACTTACACAGTACCTAGAGTTATAAACTTAAACATGTAATAAGGAAATTTTTTCTACAGCCTGCTCTTTCAGCAGATGGAGGTGACATGCTGTAAATTAGCATTGCTCTTCTGTTTAATTCTATTGCTTTTTACCATGTTTAATGATGCTTAGGCAGGTTTGCTGATATTTAAGAGAATTGCTAACAATTGTGAACATGTTTGCTACTTCAGTCAACCCTAGGGAATAGGTTCTAAGGTATTACTGATCTGTCATGATATGACACATGTGGATGGACATCTTTATTTTCGACTGGTAGTTTAATAAGTGCAAAGTATGTATATTTCTATATATGCTAGTCAGTGCCCAGAGTACATTACCCTTCAGATGGGTCTGATGCTATAAATAAGGATGGGGAAAGGGAAGGAAGGAAAAGGAAAAGGAGAGAGAGAGAGAGAAATATGGGAAGGAAGGTCCTTATGACTCAAAGAAAATCTGTTATTTAACTTAGGTGCCTGTTTTGAACCTCTTCAGTTTTTACAGGTCATTAAACTGTGGCTTCTCTCCCCCCATGTACCCATCTATATTTGGAAGTGAAAAGGAGACGTTTGAGTTGTTGTTATGATCAGGATGTTATAGGAGTCTTGACATTTCTTTTAAATTCCTAAGTAATCTTATATTTAAAAATAAGATTTTTAAAAAACCATTAAAAATATAGGAAGCATATAAGATGGTTTGGAGGAGAAAAACTGATGGCAAGAATTGGGCATTTCCAAGTTAGTTAGTTGTTTTTTAGTGTGGGCTTTTAGTTTCTTTCTGTAATGGATATAAGTTTACATATCCTGAGAAAGAGTTTTGCAGTAAACCATTTTGTAAGTCAAATGAAATGTGGCATGAATGAGTTTTTATCATGGTAAGGTTGGTGTGTTGTTGGCCTTTTAGAGAATGAATGTTCTGGGAGTGGAAGATGCTTATTTTTTTTTTTATTACTGTGAGGTTGTGAAAAATATTGAAAGCATCTGGTTTTTATAAGATTGTACTTAGAATTATTCTTTATGCTATTATAGAGAGTATCCTTTCTTTGAATTTTTTTTTTAATCGGCTTTTTTTTTTTTTTTTTTGAGAGGGACAGGTGTTTGCATTTGGGTTCACTTGATTGGTTTTCCTTCCAGTTTATGAGGAGCACTTCCTGGACCTTAGCTGTGGCCCTATGTGCTGTCCCTCGTTGCTGCTGGAAGCAATAGTTAGCACGTTTTGCCACTGCAAGGCTTACAGTTAAAAGAGGAGACTGGAAAGTTCTGGAATGTAAAGAAAATTATAACAATCTGATGGCAGAAGTATCTGGAAAGCTCAGAAGCTAGGCTTAATTAGGTAGTGGTGCAAAACCTTTGTCCCTTTCACAAAAGATTCTGAAGAGAAGTGTTCCTGAAAACAATTGGCATTCATCTGACCGGCAGGCAGACCCAGCCGTGCGAGCCCAGCCGGAGCTTGCTTGGCCTTGCATTCTGCAGGCAGCATGCATTTTTTGAAACACCCCTCAATGTTCCAGCCTTTAAATAGCAGCGAGTCTTCTGAAATTCTGCGTGCTGCAAGAGAAATGAAATGGAAGCCTTGGAGGCAGGAAGCTGACTAGCGAGTTGCTTAATTATTGTGGAAGTAAGTGCTTGTTACCGTTGAGTGGAGTACAGCGAGTGCGGGTCGTCCTCGGGTGTCAGCCACCCGTGATTTGTAGACAATGCCGCCCTGTCAGCTCAGTGCTGGTTCAGCAGCATCTTTCCAAACATGTATTTGGCAAGAATTTAAAGGCCACCTCTTGTGTAATTTGTGGAGTCTTGGAAAAGGATCCTCTGCCTTTCTTTTCAGGATATGCGCAACCATGCAGGATTTTGTACTCAGAATCTGTGCCTCCCGCCTCCTGCCTGACGTGCTCTTGAGGAAGTTCGTTTTCGTGGCCATCACCTGGAAGGATGATAACAGTTCTCTGTAATCTGCTGGGGGATATGGAGAGAGCTACCCAGAGCAGCATTTTGATCCTGCCATCTTCATAAATAGCACTGATGGGGTGGAGTAGGTTGCACTGCGTAAGGAAATGCAGGCATTTGTTCGTTAGTGAATACTTCTAGCCTTAAGAGTGGGTGAAACTAAGGAGAGCTTGGGAAGAGGTGGTGGCGAATACCGGATTCATTCTGAAATATTCTTCGTCTGGGTAAGTGATAAAGTAGAGGAAAACACAAAAGATTGCTAACAGATACAGTGGCTCTGGGAAGAATAACCTTTTTATTTTCTCTCGGCTGTATTTGCTCTTGCTAAGTATGTTAAGCTTTTGTAAGGAAACAAAAAACAAGTATTGATTTTGAAATATGGAAGGAGTTAAAAAGTGAATGTTGCAGCATATTTAATGAAATAATTTTTCAATTTTTACTCAAGTCAAAAAACTAACTCTGTGTTGCTCTAATTATCTGGTTCAGATGGTTACATCTCAAACTTCTGGCCAGCACAGTGGCTCATACTGGTCTGCAGGATTAGAGGTCATTGGAGCAAAAGTCTGTACTTGGGTAGGAGCCTCGATATCCCAGAACATGTTGTACCCCTCCCCCCAGTTTTATGACAGTTCAATTTAGGTGAAGTGTGAACAGTCTTTTATTAAATATAAATGACGAGTTTCATGAAATGGTTTTACTTTCATTCAAACCTGCTTTATTAAAAATATAGATCATAGAACTGTGAACTACAAGCCATTATTGAGTCTTTTATTTTCATGTGTCTGGTTTTAGCAATTGCATATTTATTTTTAGATGTATTTATCAAATGCTAATTCAGATTGTCCTTCTCTGTTTTAGAGAAATCATGGGATTATGACAATCACAGAGTCCTACTAAAACAAGTTCCATTCAGTTTTTTCTGAAAGAAATCTGTCTGTCGAAGTGAAGCAAAGGAACTATTGTGGATTATAATGTTTTGAAGTTCTGGATTTTCAGTGGCTGGAAAATAAGGCATCATTTAACCTTTTAAATGAAAAAGATTAAGATCTCATACAACTGTTGTATTTTCTGGAAGCCATTCTCCAAAAGGAAAGTGCACATTTAAGTTACAGATATGATGGTCCTTTCTGCAGGGATTTAAGTCAAATTGCTTTTACATCATGACCAGCTTGAAACGGTCACAGACAGAAAGGCCCGTTGCCACTGACAGGGCCTCTGTCGTCAGCACAGACGGCACCCCCAAAGTCCACACCGATGACTTCTACATGCGACGCTTCCGGTCCCAAAATGGCAGCTTAGGCTCATCAGTCATGGCTCCTGTAGGACCTCCCCGAAGTGAAGGTTCTCACCATGTAACCTCGACCCCCGGAGTCCCAAAGATGGGGGTTAGGGCAAGGATTGCAGATTGGCCCCCAAGAAAGGAAAACATAAAAGAATCTAGCCGTTCAAGCCAGGAAATAGAAACCTCAAGTTGCCTTGAAAGCATGTCCTCCAAAAGCAGTCCTGTGAGTCAGGGAAGTTCTGTTAGCCTCAATTCCAATGACTCAGCTATGCTGAAAAGCATACAGAACACACTGAAAAACAAGACAAGGCCGTCGGAGAACATGGACTCCAGATTTCTCATGCCTGAAGCCTATCCCAGCTCCCCTAGGAAAGCTCTTCGCAGAATACGGCAGAGGAGCAACAGTGATATCACCATAAGTGAACTTGATGTGGATAGCTTTGATGAATGTATCTCACCCACATACAAGACTGGACCATCACTGCACAGGGAATATGGTAGCACATCTTCAATCGATAAACAGGGAACATCTGGAGAAAGCTTTTTTGATTTGCTAAAGGGCTACAAAGATGACAAATCTGATCGAGGTCCAACTCCAACCAAGCTCAGTGACTTCCTTATTGCTGGTGGGGGAAAGGGTTCTGGTTTCTCTTTGGATGTTATAGATGGGCCCATTTCACAGAGAGAGAACCTCAGGCTTTTTAAGGAAAGGGAAAAACCACTCAAGCGACGTTCCAAGTCTGAAACTGGAGACTCATCCATTTTTCGTAAATTGCGCAATGCCAAAGGTGAAGAACTTGGGAAATCATCGGATCTTGAAGATAACCGATCAGAAGACTCTGTCAGGCCCTGGACATGTCCAAAGTGCTTCGCCCACTACGATGTCCAGAGTATATTATTTGATTTGAATGAGGCAATTATGAACAGGCACAATGTTATTAAGAGGAGAAACACCACCACGGGAGCTTCAGCAGCGGCTGTGGCGTCCTTGGTCTCTGGACCTTTGTCCCATTCAGCCAGTTTTAACTCCCCGATGGGCAGCACCGAGGATCTGAATTCCAAAGGAAGCCTTAGCATGGACCAGGGAGACGATAAAAGCAATGAACTTGTAATGAGCTGTCCATATTTTCGGAATGAGATAGGTGGAGAAGGTGAAAGGAAAATCAGCCTGTCAAAATCAAATTCTGGCTCCTTTAATGGATGTGAAAGTGCCTCCTTTGAGTCTACCCTTAGCTCCCATTGCACGAATGCAGGAGTAGCAGTACTTGAAGTGCCCAAGGAAAACTTGGTGCTGCATCTGGACAGAGTGAAAAGATACATCGTGGAACATGTGGATCTCGGAGCATACTATTATAGGAAATTTTTCTACCAGAAGGGTGAGTGAAGAGCCTTTATTTTTTAAAATGTTCTTTTGCTGTACTTTCTGAAAAAAAGTAGAGTACTGTGTATTACATTCTTTTTAGCAGTACGTGCATGAATTCCTTATCTTTCTTGATAGTAAAATAGTTAAATAGCTCTTTGCTGCAATTTATATCTTTTTACATTTTTGAGTTACTTTCCCCTTTCAAAGTATTCAAATGTATAGTAAATATCAATTATTTAAATTTAAAACTCCTTTGATTAGCCGATGAAGTTACAGTCTTTATTGTCTAGAAGATTTGCTGTGTCACCTTTCTTTGCTGCAATTTATATCTTTTTACATTTTTGAGTTACTTTCCCCTTTCAAAGTATTCAAATGTATAGTAAATATCAATTATTTAAATTTAAAAATCCTTTGATTAGCCGATGAAGTTACAGTCTTTATTGTCTAGAAGATTTGCTGTGTCACCTTTAGGGATAAATACATACAGTTGAAAATATTTCAAGTATAGCTTTTTATTTGAAGGATTATAAAAACAATTTTAATGCTCCTTTCACGTTTTAGCACTGTCACAGTTAGTACAGGACCATTTCTTCGCCACCTTAATGTTCTCTTCAGTAAGTGGGAGTTATAATATATTCCTATCCATTTTAGAGGAACTTTTGTGAACATTTAATTACATTATTTGACAAAAGACACAGAGACATTAAGTTTCAGAGCCAAGAATCAAATCTAGGTCTTTGTTTTGAGCAGAAAAGGCACTGAAGAGAGAGTACCCTTAACATGTTGGTGACTTCTTTTCTAGTCTTTTCTAGGGGGTGAGGTGTGTATATAAAAAATACACATATGTATATAGTTGAGATTATACTTTAGACGCAGTTTTGTCTCATACTTTCAAGAAAGATATTGTGATTTTCTGAAAAGTAGTATAAATTAACTCCTAAGAACTTTCTAATGATGTTTTTGAANGGGGGTGAGGTGTGTATATAAAAAATACACATATGTATATAGTTGAGATTATACTTTAGACGTAGTTTTGTCTCATACTTTCAAGAAAGACATTGTGATTTTCTGAAAAGTAGTATAAATTAACTCCTAAGAACTTTCTAATGATGTTTTTGAGCAGCATTATTAATTGAGGAATTAGTTTAAGTCATCCAGGCACCCAAGCTAGGAAGCAGGAGGATCACCAAGGAAGACATACACCTGTAGTCCATCAGCTAGCTCAGTACTCTCTGCAGCCAGGTGAGAAGGCCTGTGCTGAGAGGCTTCCTGTCTGCAAACTACTCTATCAGTGTTCTGATTTCCACTGTTTTGGGGTTTTGAATGTTGTTCAGATTTATTCTTCTGAATAAAATTTAGTTTCAAACCTAGCACTCACCATAGCTTTATGGCATAGTTCACTTTAGAATCAAATCTATTTTAAGTTACTGTATGATGGATCCCATTCAATGAGGTTTATTGACAAAAAGAATCTTTCTCATCACTATATATCCAGGTCTCATTCCTAAATATCTCTGGCATGGGTCCTGAAATCAATATGATAATGGAAGTACAGTTTCATTTTTAAAGCAATATTTATTTTCTAAGAATTATTCTCTGGAGTTCAGATTTTAGAAATCACTTCTCTCTTACACTGTCCTTTTAGGGTACAGGGTTTCTCAAACTTTGCCAGCTTGGCATTGGGGGCCAAATAATTCTTGGTTGGGGTGGGGGGGGTGTCTTGTGCATTACAGGATGTAGGATATTTAGCAGTATCTCCAGCATCAACACCCTGGATGCCAATTGGTTCCGCCTCCCACCCCCCCATCTCCCAAGTTGTGACAGCCTAAAATGTCTCCAGGCGTTGCCAAGTGTCCATTAGGAGGCAAAGTTGCTCCTAGCTGACAATCCCTGCTTTCTTTTCTGTAGGTGTTTCTGAGCCATCTGTGGGTAGAATGGAAGCCATCTGACATTGACATTGAGTCGAACACATTAGGTATAATTTTATTTACATAGTATAGTGGGCACTTTTTTCCTATTAGGCTATATAATAATATTAATAATGAACATTTTTGAGCACTTATACCAGGCACTGTGCTAAGCATTTGACATGATGTACATTTTCTCATTTCAACCTCTTGATGTCCATGAGATAGGTACTATTGTTAATTCCATTTTCCAGAGGAGAAAACTGGGGCTTAAGTGTTTAAGTGACTGGCTGTCATGGAGCCAGTTAAGTATTTGTGCCAGGATTCTACCTTTGGTCTTTCTGAGCAGAGTCTTAATCACTGTTCTCTGATCTCTACTATGTGAGACTAAAGGGAAGGGCAACCTTCTCTTAAAAGTTTTGATCTTTCAGAAGTATGGAATGAGAATTTGAACACCCAGATTCTTTGTAATGCCTCATAAATTTAAAAGCCACAAATCCAGTAGTTGCTAATTTGAAGCATGGCAAATACCCTCTTACCTAACATAATTGTAACTGGTTAATTAAAAATACCAGTTAAAACAGGGAATTGTTAAAAAGTACATATAACCAAAATATTTTATTTTCATTAAAACATATAAAAATATATTTGCCAAGCTCTTGTGAGGCCAAAGATGTTTCTTTGGCAATAATTCTACTGTTTTGAATTCTACATCGTAGGAATAGTATAAACCACAAGAGCAAAAACATGGACAGTAGTGAATCAATCTGAGTGCAGAATCGTAGGTTTCATAATTTTTTTCTCAGTTTTTTGTAGCTGTCTTGTTCATATCTAATCCAACAGCTTTCTTTTTAGTGACTTGCCTTTGTTAAGTCTTTCCTAAGCCTTCAACTTAGTTTTTATAGAAACAACATTTTTCTTTTGTACTCATATTTCATCAGCTTTCATAATAATTAATTACATTTCATAATTAAAATAACAAGTCAACTGGCATAGACATGTTTGGGAAGACACATGGACTCTTTGTCAGCATGAAGTCCAACTGGTGGGAGCAGAAAGTGTCTGTGGCACTAGAGATCGCCTGCTGGCCTGCTAGTGCACTGGGCATTTGTTGGTACGGTGAGCACCAGTTAATCCAGGAAGTTGGTCCAGCAGAAGTCAGTTACAGAGCACACCTACTGTAATATCTTGTCTTGGGCCACACAACTTAGAATTTTCAAGTCATGCAAGTCATTTGCCACAATATGGTAATATACCACAAAATATGGCTCTGGATAATATATGAAGCAGAAATTAAGCCCCCTAAAATATAACTGTACATTAAAAATTTATGTTACCTATACATTTTATGACAATAAAAAGTAGTTAAATAATTGTCTTGTAATTTTTAAGAAATTAGTGCACTAAATCATTTTTCCTGTTCAGAACCTTAAAGCAAGTCCTTTTGCGGAAGGAGCACTTCAGTGTCAGAAGTAATTTGTTCTCTGACACCATGGTGCAGTGCTACTCACCTGGACCTTAACCTCTTCATCATCAGATAGTTTCAGTTCTGTTTAGTGCATTCCTGACTTCATGGTGGGTAAGTCTCTGGGAAAAAAAAACTTTGCTGAAGTATACTCTACAGCCGACATTATATGTAAAATTTATATTGTTTTTCAAAACATCATTAATTTGCAAGTTTAGATTTTGAAGAATATTTGACTCCAACATACAAGTGAAGTTCATTGCTGGAAAGATGCTGGGTCAATAGAGGAATTCCATTTTTGCACTTATTAAAAATAAGCAATATGCCATTGATGCTTTTTCCAGTCCTTTCTTCTGCCTGTTTCTCTTTGCCATTTTGCTAGTGTGTGCACAGTTATAGTGAGACGCGCCCAGGATTAAATGCGCCCAGGATTAAATGATGGTAATGGAACCACTAACATTTATTGGGTTACTACTTTGTGCTTTATGTAGACTTCCTCACTTAATGTTCATAGGACCCCAAGGTGAACCCGTCATTGTGGTTGAAGTCCAGGTGATATAACCACATCCTCCTTAGGGAGGTGCAAACTATGCAGTAGGGTAGCATTCAGATTAACCTGGTCATGTTACTTTGACTACCTATATATTTTGTGTTTAGTTTTTATTTAGATAGTCACCATGATCAAAGTGCTAAAAAAATCCCTAAGTGGAAAATACTAAGTTATAGAATAATTATAATGTTGCCTGTAGCCAGCATGGCTTGTTGAGAAGGGGACTCCTTCCTAGCCATTACTCACCTCATCTTCTGTGGCCCCAAAGGACTTTTTCAGTTTTTCACTGAGTGTGCAATTATATATGAGGCATGTTCTCCTTGTATCCTACACAGAGGAATGCATTAATGGAAGACAGAGGAGCCCATGGGTGGCCTTGGCAGTGGTATTTGTTGCCCCGTTGATCAATGATGTTGATAGGTTTGTCTGTATGCCAGGTGGGCATCACTCTCAAAGTCAAGTTACTGAAGATGCTGGGATAGAGTAGGGTCTTCCTCTACTGCTCAGTGGCCAGGAGAAACTGCCATTATCTGGTCTGAAACTCATCTAAGAATATTTTACCACTCCTAAAAAGAGGGAAAACTAATGCTTATGCCCCAAATTGTACTTCTGATAACTCTTAAGATACCAGACTGGATTGTTCTTACTTTTCATCTTCCTCTTCCTCTTCCTCCACCTCTACCTTTCCCCACCCAACACACATGCCTGTTTGCACATGTGTGTGCACACACACATCAGATCGAACAGTGTTCTGCTCGCGAGGCTCTCAGACTGAGGGGACAAGTCAGGTTCCAGTTGCTGTTTGATGGAGTTTGGATGTGTTGTCCCCTCCAAAACTCATGTGGGAATTTTATATCCAGGGTGGCAGTGTTAGAAACTGAGTCATGGGAGTGGATCCCTCATGAATGGATTAATGTTCTCCCTTGGGGGAAGAGGTGTAGTGAGTGAGTTCTTGCTCTGTTAGTTCCCGCAAGAGCTGATTGTTTAAAGGACCCTGCACCTCCTCTCTCTCTCTTGCTTCCTCTCGCCATGTGATCTGTTGTACCTGCTGGCTGCCTGCCACTTTCTGCCATGAGTAGAAGCAGCCTGAG